TTTTGAATATTTGACTTACAATTCAATTATTTCTTAAAATTTGTTTAAAATTTCAAACTAAAAATTGTGCAATTTTTAATAAACGAAAGTAAAAGTTTTATTCAATGAGCAATTTAAAACTTAAATCCAATTTTTTCAAAAAAAAAGAGATTAAAAAAAATTAGAAAATTTCAGGTGCAATACGAGAAAATTTCCATGGAAAACAAAAAAGAAGTGTTGGAAATAGGGCAGTAAATGTTTTGTAATAAAAAAGATATACTAGTTTTGAAACTATTTTATGAATATTGAATTGAAATGAACGGCAGAAAGCTGTTTTAGAATATCTGTATGAATTGAAATTATTAGTAAAAAATATCGAAGAAATAAAAATATTTCAAGGATTGGATTGAAAAAATTAAAAGAAGAAAAAGAAAAAGGAATCATTACTATCACAGTCAGAAAATATGGAAACAAGAAATTCTTTTTTTTTCAAAATTAAAATTTAATAATTAATTTAACAAAATGATGGCAGAAAAAAATAGAATCAGAAAATATGTGAAATGCTGTAATGTTTCATTATTGAAATTAAATAAACCAAGGATAGAGTAACTACCAAAAAACAAAAAAACAAAAAAACAACAATCAATATTTTTATAGCAAAAACTACTTCTTAGTTAAAAAAAAAAAATTACCGAATTAAAAATCATTATTCTATCATAGAAAGTTAAAAATAATTTCAAAGATAAAATGAAAAGAGAAAGAGAAACTTTGTAGAGAAAATAAAAGCATCATTTCCAGAAACCTTTCAATAATACAATCTGTATTGTTGTTTCGATCATATTTTATCTTATTTATTGAACTAACTTGGTGATCTTCCATCTTTAGGCTTATAAATGGAAGAGCTAAACTGAAACAGGCTTCATATAGAAACTTACTCTTAATAATAATATACTTAAATCTTGCTATTCCTATATTTAAAACATTTGAATAATATTCATCAGCTAATTTTATTCATCAACAAAATTTATCATTCATTTGACAAACATCATGTTAACTTTTAGAATGTTATACAAATTGATTTCATTGGTTCTGTTTCATCACATACGATAAATATATGGATGCATGTAAAATAAATGTACATGCATGCATGCATGCATGTTATATATGCATAACTGTATATCTGTTGATATGATAGAAGGAAAATAACGAAGATTTAGACAAATAATCGATAACGAATTCCGAAATAATTGAATTTAAGTATTATTTGCAGCTAATAGAATTATTGTTTGAGTGCAACATACAGCGCTTCCACAAAATTTACTCTTTCACAAAATTTACTATTGAACATAAATATATTATGCCACATATGAAGTATTATTTTATGAAATGATTCAAACATTCAAAACATCTTCAATTTGATGGAACGTTTACCGAATCGAATGAATTCATTTTTTCGTTTGTTAAATCTGTAAACAAATTTCCGTTACTGATGATGCTTAAACTTAATTTAAAAATCATAAATTTTTTCCAATTAAAATTATATCATATGTTCAAAATAAGGATAACTGAAAGCAATCTTAATTATGCTAACGCGAAAGATTTCGGTGCTGGTAATTAATTGGAGTACAACATGCCGTAAATATTTTGAATGAAGTACAAATTTTGAATTTCGTAAAAAGAAAAATTTCGTATCGTAAAATAATTCGAAATTTTGGAACGAATAAATTTGTTTTTATACTTAAGCTAAAAACTAATTTGCGAGGGAATAATTCAAACTCATATTGAATCTTAAAGCAAAAAGAAAAAAAAAAAAAAAAAACAATATAACATAACGAAACGTACTTCATGAAACCATTTCTTTTCCCAAAGCGAATAAATTCGTTTTTACGTTTGTCAACTTGAAATGGCTCGTTCATCAAGTCATCATTAATCCTCATCCCTATAAAAATTTAAGTTCGAATTTAAATTTGCAATGAATTGCATAAACACCAAAGCACGAAATATCCGGCTATATTAGAAATTCGTACATAACTGATTTGACATTTGCTATTCTCCAAACAATTTCTTTTAAATTTCTACCATGTATGCTACATTTGGAAATAAGCAAGTGAATTTAAAAATACTGCACTTGGTAGTCAATTATTGCAGTCTCCTAGATCGATTGAAAAATGAAGAAGTTGTTGAACCTAGTTGTTATTTTTAAAGTTCAAAGTTGCAGAGATACACTAATTTATAATACATTTCAGCTTCCTTTGCTCGAAAAATTTTCAAAGTCAAAAAAAAAATTTTTTTTGAACGAATTTTCCTAAAGCTAAATTTGGTTATGCAAATTTTTACATTGGTTTTCATTTAGTTTTTATTCAAAATTATTGAATAAAACATAGAAGAAGGAGAATAAAAAAGTGAAAAATGATAGTAAGGTATGTTTTCAAATATCTCACTATTAAGAGTTTTATGTTAGCAAATGACGTCATTAACAAATAAATAATTTTACATTTACTCCGTGAAATTAGTCGTTAGAATGCTTTATGGACAAGATTAATGAAAGGACATTTTTGAATTTTTATTACTGTGATATTTAAATATGTTATATTGATGCAAAAAATTGTACCTGAATATGGCAAAATGTTGTAATCAACCAATGGTGATTCCTGGAAACGTTCAAATTATTCCGATAAATAAGTATTAGATAAGTTGATTTATCTCGTATTTTTTAAAAATTTAATTTAATTATATCATTCAATTTAGGCAATAAATACATTCGTTTTTCTCTTTTGCTTTATATCACCCATTTTACTAGTTTCTAAATATTACAAGAAGTTCTTCTTCATTTGTTCGCTCTTATGGTAGCTCAAATCAATAAATGGGAACACATCTGATCTTCAACGAAGTACCAAATCTATATGCATTTGAATAACTGATGCATCTACTCAGTTATACCTGGATGAAGTTCTAAAATTCATTAGTAACACAAATGAACAACTATTTCCCTTTCTGGATCATTGTAAATCTCGAAAATCCCAGAAAATGTAGTATGTCGTATCCCAAAGCACCTTTTTTTTTTTAGAATCTTAGCAATTTTAGGAATATAGAAAATAAAAATAATCCGTTGACATCATTTTTGGTCTTCTCTTTGCCACTTTTTTCCGTACACGGAAAAATCCATGAAGACTTAAGCTCTCCAGAAAGATTATATCATGGTACGAAGTACTTGCTAACTGTTAATTTTATCTCGCTTTTTTTCTTACTTCAGTTTTAAAAATTATTTTTAAATTATAACGAAGAAAATAGAACTTAAATGCTGCTAATCATAAAATGTATGATGAAATATCTCACACTCTTCCAAACAGAGAGAAGGATGAGACTTCTGAAATTTGATCTATGTCATCCTTGCATTGACGGATAAAAAGCGTAATAGGAATTTTTCAAAAGATAGCTCATCAATACTATCAGCAAGTAAAACTTATTACAAATCATCGTCACATGATAAATTTTTGATACATTTAACTTTTGTTACAAATTTTGTTATTGAAAAACTAGACGAATAAACAGTAGTGAAATTTTAAGTCTGAATTTTATTAGAGGTAAATTTAACCTACATCATATAATGAATCATGCACGGGAAGATGGGCTGCTAATGATAACGGTAGTATATCAGGAACCAACACCATAACCAAAAGCACTTGAATGAAGGCATTGGAGACAGAAGGGAGACAGGTCATTGCTGTTTTAAATCTCGCAGTTGATGAAGCGGTATTGCAGATATATTAGTTTTGAAATGATCTTGTGAAAATCATTGTGGGAGTGTTTTAGTTGTCAATTCGTTTATACTCACTGGAACTCCACCTTTCGATCCATTCAAGTGCTTCTTTTTCCATCTTATTCCTGTCCGCATACTTTTCCCCTTTCCATTCATCATTGAGTGACACTTTTCTTGAAGCTAAATAAACCATCGCTTTACTATAATGATTACTTTTATATGCATTTCATAAAAATTATCCTTCATTTTACTTTTCCTTCTGAAATATCATTCATAACCTCATCATTTCACAACTCTTTCAAAATCCATTGATTGATCATAGCGTTATACTTCATTAGTTAATGAAGTAAAGATTAAATTAGCCCAACTGATCAAATCATAAACACCATCACTAGGCATTATCAATCAATTATGAAGCGAACAAGGAACAATTTTTTTTTGTCCTGAAGGATTTTGCACCGACATTGTTTCAAACCTTATGAATAGTTCTGTCGCTTGGAAAACGATGCATTGCATCTTATACGGATTTATTGTTTCATTTTGAAATTTAAACTAAAATAAAAACTATGTGGAAATTTCGTTGCTGGAAATTTAAGAAACTGTGTTACTTCAGAGATGATAAATTCATGAAGCTAATTATTGGTTGAGATTTTCGTGCTAATTATAATTATGATTCGACAAATTTAATTAAGTCAATCATTGATGACTTTACAAGGATTTCGCTTTATTGATAATCGTATTTATTAATCATCAAAAATATCCTAAAGAGAGGATTCACAAGACAATGCTAATCAAAGACCAATCACAATCATATCATTGCTAGCAAATTAATGAGAAAAAAGTTGAATTTCAGTATATCTACTGAATACATACCAACTCTCATATCATACACCGCGGTTCTCCACCAAACTCGATGCAAAACGAGCATCAACATGACCACTCAGAACACAAATACCCTGGACATTGCTAGCAAACTGAGTCGACCCTACCAACCTTACAAACCCATAACACCCGCAATCATCCAGTAACCGCGGCACTACATATTTGACCACACACTGATTGAGAGAGCAAAGAAAATGGACATTAACAATTTATTGCCAGCAGCCCCCGAACAAACCACTCCACAATCAGTGTCCACTCTACCACCGTAGCCTAACTCGCTACTAAACGATCCGCCTTGCCGTTGATTCTCATTCATTTAGCACAAAATTTTTAATTAGGTTGTAAGAGTTTCAAGCACCATACAGTAAGAGAAAATCTCTCGGCACATACAATACCAGTGCATTGAACACTCCCATCTACAATATAGAACGTTTTAGCTGAAATTTTCATCTTTTTTTCTCTGTACAGGAAAAAATTTAAAACTCACTCATTATTGGATTTAAATAACCATAAAGATGAGATGTGAATGCCATCTGCCTACTGTGATGGAATACCAGGAAGGAAGAGAGTTTCGGCTGGCGTTGCACCCGATTTGGACTGCATCTTGGCTGGGAAGTGCCAGACCCCTGAGCAGGAGGAGTGCCTGTTCGGGACTGCTTATTTCCTGGGGACCGCCGGAAGGCTCGGCTAGTCTGGCGTCAACACGAGGTGATACCGACGCGGGTGGTACTGGGAGCTATTACATTGAAGTGGTGGGGAAAGTGGTCAGTTGAAGCAAAGGGTGAGTAAACAGCAAATTCTCTGGAGAATCGTGGTAGGACTCGGCTAATCTGATGTTGATACGGAGTAATATCTACGTATGACTGATGTTGAAAAGTGCTATATTGAGACAATGAGAAAAGTGGTCAGTTGAAGCAAAAGATGAACAAATAACCTCCGAAAAAGATACCAAAAGTGATCGAAAGGAAGAAATAGTATCAAAGTATACAAGTCAGCTAAATTTGGAACTATGTCTTCTCTATTTTCGATTTTCTGCTTCGAAATACAATATTTTCCTTAAACATCTTTGAAGTGTCTGAGGAAACGACTAACATTTAATTGGCCACAAGATAGTCAATTTTTTCTCTTGGAACATGGATTAAAATTTCTGATCATATGTATTAAATGAGACTGATTCATAACACACTTAAGTACTTAAGCCTGAACAAAACTATCGGTCATTTTAAAATGCGATCATGAATAACTGGGACATCATTATTTCATCCTAACGCCTGCGCAAAATCGGTTCCAATTATGCGTCTCAGTTGTCCTGTATTTTTTTGATGATTTTATTGTTCCATCGGTCTCGACGGGATTTCTCATCTTTATGCTGTTGGATGTGGCTTTCCAGGTGTTCCAGGGTTTCCTTCCGCAGCAATCCGGAATTGCTGTTTTAGAATTTAATCCATGAGTGGAGAATGTGTTGTGTTGGAAAGTGCGCTTAAAACATCAACTTCCAATTATTGCACTTCATTCGATGAACTTCTGAAAAGAATTTCCAATTTGAGGCAAAACCAGCTTACATTTGGTTAGTTTGGTTTGTTTTCTGACAATTTAAACACAACATTTTTCGAATCCAATTACATATTCTTAACTATCAAATATTTTAGCTCATTAACAAAAACGACGCGATTTCATGCGTTTCGTAATTAAGCAAATGATAGTATTTTAATTTTTATCATGATAATAACAATGGCATGGTATTTGACGGGATGTTAAGATTATGATGAGTCAAAATAGTTGAAGTTAGAAGAGTGGGGAAGTTAGCAAAAATTTGGAGCGGACGTTAGGGAAATGCTACCGTTTCATTTTCTGGGGTTTCCATTGCTTATCTTCCCGAAATGATCCAAGAAGACATGGGTGTCATCCGAATGTATTTTTTATTGTAGATGTTTGTAAGGATGTTAAATGGTACAATGAAAAGAAAAAAGGCGCCATTTCGTTATCATGTCAATATACGGGAAAAAGTGGGATAAATCTATTAGATGGACTTTATGGGGCGAGGGTCGAAGTATCAAATAGCGAAATCAATCAGGAACGTCATTTATTCCCCATGATTTATTTTGCGGTTACAGACAAGGATTTTGAAGTTATCTCGAATCATGAACGGAAGTGGTGTAAGCTTTTTGCCGATTTTATTGCTGGAAGCACTTATTGCAATGCGAAAAATTGTGCTGCGCATAGCGATGATATGCTCTGGTACGTATCTATGCAGCAACTCAATCGAGACTTTTGCATTGGTCAGGAAGTAAGTTGTATACAACTTTTTTATCTTACTTCGAAATGAGTTGGAATACAAATATGACTGAGTTTATGTATAATGGTGATGTCATCATCATTATGCATAATGACATCACCTATAAGTCGTATTCACATGTTTCTTTGTGAAAATGAAGTTTTTTCTTTTTTTTTTTAAATGCTGCTTCATTAGTTTTCTGGTTATCTCTTCCCTTTTGCCAATTGTTAGTTGGGAAGATTTGCAGAAAGTACGTTTTTGGTTATTTCTGAGTCTATTTATGTCACACTCGGGTTGGACATATTGTTCAGCTTTATTTAGGATGGTCAGCTTCAAGTATACAGACGTCAAAGTCCTAATAAACCGGTGCTCAATGATCCCTTGATAAATTGGGAAGAAACCGTTTGTCTAAACCTCATCCTTCAACAGGTACGTTTCACCGAAATGTCGCACAATTTGAAAAAATGTTTCTCGCTTATGGTTAAAATGTGGAAAGAAGTTCCTTTTTATCGAATAAAATTGGATTTCGATTGCGATAACGATTTCCTTATTTTCGTTATCGATCTTTAGTGATGTACTTGTTCGTGATGGTGAATGCTGATGAAAATTCTATCTGCGTATGAGATAGAATTGGCAGTATTTGCAACTAATGTTCCTTATTTCTTATTACTCCATGAGAAAATTAGTTTGATCAGTTTTGGAGGAAAAAAAACGGTTTGTCCAGAATTTGAAGCAGTACATTTCAGTTGGATTTTCAAGTCACTTGTGCTGTTTGCATTAAAACCAGTCCGCAGAATTTGCAGATTTTGCGTAAAAATTGCCAAGTAAGGTTCTTCAATATTTTTGCTAGCATATCGGAATTTAATCTTTACATAGAGTTTTATTCTGAAGAATTATGCGATACCATATAATTTTCCAATTTCTCATAGAGAATTGATGAACAACCATTTGCAGCGGGTATACCCATCACCAAGTAAACGACGGATGGATAGCAAGGGTGAATGCGAAGAAATCACTTATCCAAAAATCTATTTCGCGATAGATGACTTTGAACAGGTTTGCTTCTTATTTGACCACGTAGGTAAGTTTTCAAGTTTGCTAGTTTTATAAGATTTAAAGATTGATATCTATTTTTTTTATTGTATTTACACGTATTTTCCGTATCGACTTTTCATCATTTTCAGATCTTTAGTGATGTAGTTGTTCGTGATGGTGAATGCGTATGCGTTGAACTGGTAGCGAGGGATAGGCGCAAAAATTGTGAAGCAGTTATTTTTCTTGGTTCAATTCGATATGAAGTTCTGAAGCAAGCGTACGATTCACGAGTATGCTTAGATTTCTCTTTTATTTGTTCGGTCTAATTATATTTCTTAAGTGGACCACTGCACTTCTGATTTGTACTGGTTGAATAAAAAACCAAGCTACTTTTCTATATTTAGGCATCTTTCTCTTGGCAGTGGGCGCAGAAGCTCATCACTCCCAATCAGCGACGCCGCGAATTCGTTCGAATGAGAGGACCACATGGGAAAGGTATGCTGTGCTCATTTATTTGTTAGACTTAACATTTACACTTAAGCATATGTCGTAGTAACAAAAATGATACAGTCGTATTGCAACAATTCTTACATTAGGGATGCTGTTGTAGGGTATGCAGAAATGGCGGTCATGCGTCTTGCAAACTGTGGCTATGAAACTCCTGTGTCAGAGCAGTCATTAAATTTTGAAGATGTGAGTTTCAATTTTTTCATATGCTATCGAAAAATTTGTTTAGACTTACATATAAATTTAGTGACTTCGAGAACATTTCGTTTCGATTTCTTCCATTAAACCTTCGCTAATTTTTCAAGTGTTATGAAACCAACTTGTATGGGACTTGTATTCGTAAAATCACATGTTTTAAGTTAGGACAGTGCGGGATGCGACGCATGTCTGATACGAATTTAAGTCATTATCCAAAACGATTGACAATGACGCCTGGATTATCAGAAGGGTATGATGCCAGCAGAGGACGACGGTGGCAAAGTGAAACGGACACTCTAAATCAATATCGAGAAGTTGAAGCTAATAGTATCGATGACGGTATTGACTTCAGTATTTCATTAACATCATCGTAATACATTGAAATTAAGGGAAATTTTGCGTAACTCTCAATTCAGATCAAAACTATTACCTTAGAACATTAGTTCTTTGCTGTAACAAATCAATGCATAGTGTTTCATTACTTACCATTTTGAACAGTTTTTCAAATAACCTTGCTAGAAAAGTGATAGCTTAGAGGGAAAGGAGACAAATCATTTTAAAACTCACTGTAACTTCTGAAGAAAATACCAAGTAAATTGTTGGTAAGGAATGTGAAGAGATAGTAATTCGAATAAAATTGTGGGAGTTTTAAAATCCCAAATAGAAGAGGACATCCCACTTAACATTTTCAACTATTATTTCATAAGAAATGCAATTCGTGAAGAAGTATTATCCATGTGAAGTAATTACTGTTGTTGTTTTGAACTTTTCTGTTATTAACTCGAACTTATTTTCTATGTTTGCTGGTTTTAAGAACTTTGAATTACAGTGGTATTACTCGTTTATATTTCCAAGTGAAAAATGCTGCTATAATTCTTTTTTGGGGTTTTATTCTATTTAGAGCTGCTTTTTTATCCAAATATTGCTACCAAAAAAAAATAAATGAAGGTGTTGCTGCAACAAAAAAAAAAAAAAAAAGAAAAAAAAGAAACGACTTACC